ATATTCACTGTTAAATATCTGAGCTATCTTGATTCTATCTATCGAAGTCGATTGCACGATCAACTGATACAAATACCAACTATCTTTTGGTCTTTTGACTTCCAACTACAAGACATTAATTACTTTAATAATTTCCATCTCTAGAGTAATAATTCAACTTGCACTACACGTGAAATTACAAGTCAAAGTATCGACAATTACATTTGCTCGATCATAACAATATTGTCTATCCATATAATAGTCTTTGATCACTTCTACCCACCTCTTCTATCTTTTTTTATGAAAATGTACTTCAAACTCTGATGATTGGTGAAGACCTCACACTTCACACCATACTAGTGTTTCCAAATTTTGAGAACAAATATCACAGCAACTAACTCCAGATAGTTTATCAGATAATTCCTCTCATGTGGCTTCTACTGACTGAATGTGTATGCTATTACCTCTTTATTTTGCATTAGAACACAACCCAAGCCTTACAACAATACATTGTTGTAATTTTGGAACCCTTCTATACATCATGGAGTAGTTAGTACTAGAGTGGTCAAATAATTCTTTAATTTTTTAAAACAATGTTCACATTTTGCAGTACACTCAAATTGAACATCTTCATCAACTTGGACAACGATATGTTAAAATCCTTTATCGAACCTCTTGCAATATTCGACCATTCCAAGTAAACTGCATACCTTCACAACATTCTTTGTGGTAGATCATTCCACAATTGCTTTCACCTTTTCAGGATCCAATGAGATTTCTTGTCTACTGATAATATGCTACAAGAATGCAATACTCTGCAGCCAAAATTCACATTTTCAAAATTATGTATGTAGATGATTCTGTCATAGTACCTCTAATACTATTTTCATATGTTTGGCATGATCATAATCAACTCTTGAATATATCAGAATATCATCAATAAAAGTAATGACAAATTGATCCGCATAAGGCTTGAATATTAGATTCATCAGGTTTATAAATATAACAGAAGCATTTGTTAAGTTAATAAACTTAATTAAGAATTCATAATGATCATCCCTGATTTCAAAAACTGTCTTAGTTATATCTATCTCTTTGACTCTAATCTGATGATATCCTGATATCATATTAATCCAGAAAAATACAGTACCACCCTCTAACTGATCAAGTGGATCAACGATTCTTAGTAGTGAATATTTATAATAGTTAATAATGTAGAGTGAGCTACAACAAGCCCAACAAAATAATCAAGATTAAAATAAAATTTTATAAACAAAAAAAAAAACAAAGTGCATGCTCAACAGACGTAATCATATACATGTCAATGTCCATAACTCATGTACATGTCCGTAACTCATCTACATGTCCACAACACATGTCATGACATGTTAATCATATAAATGATGTAAAAGAAAAGACATGCTATGTAAAGAATTATAATTGTTGTACAAAACATGTATTTCACTAAATCAAGTGTAATCATGAATATGTTCAAAAGAATTATCAATCTAATCATAAGAATGTCACTTGTAATTATATAGACCTCAACTATTTTCATGTTTTGTAATATTATGGGTCATCACCCAGTCGAATGGATACATCAACCATTGATGACGATTGAGCCCCTCCCAACATAAAAATTATCAATAGCCCCCTTGTAATATATTGCCTCTGTCTGATCCAAATGATGCTCAAAGTTTCGTATTCGCCTAAATACCAGAATTCGAGAATCTCATCATTTTATATTATCCATACTTCCAAATATTCATGTAAAAATTTACCTATAAAATCACTTGTGATATTTCTTCAAGTATAATTCAAGTACAAGCATTCATCAAATAAAAAAATTTACATATTATATGCAATAATCATAATAAATGAATACTTACAAACAATGATTGCATAAATATGTTTATCAGATTCATAACATTGTGAAATTATAGGCATCGTAAGTCACAAATCAAGTTTATTTTCATACAGTCTATGTCGATATTCATCCACAATATACAAAAAAATTTAGATGCAATTTGTCAAACACATAATAATATGAAAACCCACAGAGTTATTTTTTTTAGGTTAGCACATAATTATTTCATCTGAATTAACGGAGCTCGTCGCCTAGTGTAAACCTAAAATTCATAAACCTCTTAGGATGTTCATAAATTCTTATCTAAGTCTTAATTTAACCCAGAAGTAAAGATACATGTCAATATTTACCTCGAATGGCTGCCCTGCATGAATTCTCCTTATGAATTATTTCAAATCATTTCTTCCTCCCCCAACCTTCCAAAAAAGTCATGTATAGGGAGTCGATACCAAACACAAGACAATCTCGGATAAAAGATAATCTCGGATAAGAGAATTTTAGAATATATATATATATATATATATATAACCTACCTCCTGAATTGCTCGTAGTGAGGGAGGACCGAGATGTCAGAGATGAGACCCTTTTGCGCCACTTTTAGAAAACCTCATTTGGGTATTAAAATCAGTCCAACAATGTACAAATCAACAACTAATCAAACAATGGATGAACTACATCGTTGGAAACTGTCTACGAACATTTAACAGAAAGAACATCCTACTGTGGGAACCAGATACTTTCAGAGAAGAAGAAGAAGAGCCCCTCCTATATGTTCACACTTCAATATGGCGTGCTTGTCATATATATCATTCCAAAGTTGATTCCTCATAACAAACTAAGAGTGGGGGAAGAATAATATAATTTTACTTACTCGGGATTTGGTTCGTGAAAATTTGGGTCGATATACAACTCCATCTCAAGTTGTGCCCATAATGGAATGTGCTTTAAAATGACAACGCTTGTAGAAGTGACTTACTGCGAAGTTATAGTAGCTCTACCACCTTCAACGGGGCTGATCTGACTACAACGAGAGAGAAGCTTCGACAAACCGAGAGACTAACTCGGAAGCTACCCACAAGGACCCTTCCCAATGTTCTACTATAGTGTCCCGATTCTAGCTGCAGTACTGCAAGGAGACGTCTGTGATCCCTTCTACAGTACTGAAGGAGATTGCATCTTGGACCAGTCCAAGAGGACCGATCAACACTTTACGTGAACTTCCCTCTATTTGGAGTGGGTTCCACTCATGTTTACTCTAAATCTATAAATATGTTATTTTCATGTTTTAGGTTAATTTTTTGTGATTTTTCTGTTAAGATGGCAGTCGGCGTCCCCTGTCTTCCCTTCAAGAGTTGTATCCAAGGATGAATGGTGCTCCAACTATATCTCGCTCCTAGGTAATGACTATCCTTGACCTTCCAATACACTGTAACCTCTCGTCAAAATTGTCGTTGCTGTAACTGATGCAGTCATCCCTTCCCCGAACAACACATTTCCTATCACTTGCAGTCCCACATTCTCTGTCGCTTCCGTCCTCACCCCCATCACTATTCTAGCCTCCCTCTTTGCTTCCCCCGTAATTCTAGTTCTCCAACTTGCTGCCATCGTTTTTCCCGCCACCATAAATACCCTCTCCTTCCCACCAACTGTTGTTGCAGCCATCCAGGACCAAGACATTGCCACCTAACCGTTGTTCCAACCTTCATGCAATGCCTCCCTGCCACATATTTGCTGTTCCAACCTCTGGAAACCCGAATTCCACCTTGTTGTGCCCAGGACAGCAAGGACCAGTTGTTCTGTTGTCATATCGGCACACTTACTCTACGCTCCCACCTTACCACCACCATTATAAACCCCCAACAGCCATCACCATTGCTTGCAATCCAACCCAGTTTAAGTTAGTGTTGTCATTTGTCGCAATTTCAGATTTCCGTGTGTTGTGTTGTTGTAAATTCCCCTTTTAGTTGTGTAGATTTAACTTATTAGAATTTCAGCAATAATCTTTTTTTTCCTATTGTTGTTTAGGTTAACCCGGGTATCAGAACCTCCTGCTGCTAACCATCCACTCTCTCGTTGTCCTTCCTCCCAAACAACAACCGACCTTCTGTTTCGCCCTTCCAACCTCCAATAACTTTTCATATTCCCTACCATTTCGCTTTCCCCGACATCTCCCCGCAAGATAAACTTCTTAAACACCTTCTAGAAACCTTAAAATGTTGTCATTCTTATATATCCTAATTGAATCATATAATGGGTCTTTTTTTCATGAGAATTTAACAAGCATGTCTATTTTCCTCTTCATAATTTTTATTATTCTTTCTATCTCCATGGTTCTCAGAAGAGGAGTAGAGGTGTTAAAATACTACGCCTATCATGTTATTGTAAGAAAAAGGACTTGGAAGTTCAGGTGGAAACACGATGGTGAAAACGAAAAAGAGCACTCTGTTCTTTGGGTGCAAAGACATTATCTAGCCTTCACATACTCGAATTTTATTAGTTATATTTGTTTATTATTCAATATTCATGTTAGAACAAATGTGTTAACTCATTCTCACCCAAAGTTTATCTCCCACAAATCTACAACTAAAGAGATCATGAATGGCAAGCACACCAATAAGCCTAAAGTCAGGAATACAAGACCTTGTGGATGGAGACAGAACATCGAATCACTAGGCCAAGTGAGCTGCACAATATCAATAAATTTGATTAACCTAAGATGAAACATGGCAAATAATTATCATTGATAACTACAATGAAATGTTATATCAACCTTATTCCTCATTTGGAGGCAATGTTTAATCCTAATAAACTATATGGTGCTAAAACTGTCACCAGCATGTGAAAAGTTTATCAAAAATCACTCTAGGTAGGCTAATAAACATGAAAGCCCTAGAACCAGGTGGTAATAATTTATCAAGGCTCCTAATACGGCATGCTTTCTAGATAGCTTACTGCTTCAATGAACACAAGTTCCCTTGAAACAGAAGTTTGGAATAGAAGAAACGAAAAGACAAGCTGCACAGTAAGAAAATCCAGTTGAGATAGGAAGTCAGATTCAAGTCATCAATTAGACTGAGAAAATCAATTTAAGTAACAATATAGCAACATCATATTTATTACTATGCATAATACAGTAGTAGAAATTAGAAGCTACCTGATGGAAGATGTATCATGGAGATCATCCGACCACCAATCCATGGGACAACTTTAAGCAGCCAGTCCCTACTCTTGATCTCAACAGGTGTCTTTGACAGTTGAATCCCTTTTTGCCCAGAGAGATCAACTGCATCTGGAATAAGCTTTGCTTTATCTGCAACACCGCTTCCATATGAATGTACCAAGTTGAAAAGAAAATTAAAGAAGCCTAACAAAAAAAAGCTCAACAGAAAATGTACAAAAGGGACTTCAATAAAAGATCGAAAATAAATGTTTTCTTTTAGCAATTCAAAAATATAGAAAATGCTGCATAATTTTAACCAGTTTCTCAGACAGCAAATAAATAATAACATCATTGATATGTAAGAGGCATATTACTATGGTAGTCAAAGTATTATAATCGTTGAAGAGTATATGTCGGTAGTTAAAAGCCCCATTGGAGTGATATCAAGTTTAAAATCCACAAACAAAAAATAAAAAAATAATAATAAATTTCACAAAACTATAGTTCTGGAAACTTCTTGAAAAAACATGCCTAATTTTTCCCTGTACTGAGTTTCACTTGCAGATAGCAATTTAGATATTTCACATTCTGAAGGCATTTTGATGCGCACTTCCTCACCATCAATTCCTCGTCCAACAATCTTCATTCAACAAAAGTATTTGTCAAGATGATAGCTTGAATGAACTTTGCAATACAAATAAGAAGTTAATATAAATGAAACAATAACGAACCATGGCTCCATTCCCAAGCAGAATATGAACAAGCAGACTACGAGTATGCCTCCTCCATGATCCTTCAGTTTGGGAAACTCTAACTGTAACAGTAGAGGAGTTCAATTCCGCAACGTAGTACGTAAGGATAAAGGCTCCCTCAGTGTATCCATATCCATCACCATCATCCTCAAACAGAACGCCTTCAGCCTTGCCTAGAAAAAAGATATTTATTTCAGAACAAAGTAAAACAAGTTACCATCGCCAAGTAAAGCTGCTCTAATGCGGGTCAAACTCGGAAACAAGAAATATTTGTGTTTTGCATCAATTTTAGCATTTCGATTGTAATTCGATCAATGAAAATGTTTTAGTACTATTTTATGTTGGAAGATTTACATACATAACTCAATTCCTAACGCAAAAATGCCACCCAAACTAGTCATGAAAAGGTGTATCTTACCTTTCAAAAGTTAAAATACTGATATTTTTTATGTGATATGAATGATTTGAGTGGTAAAATTGTCAAAAGTCAAGTCTAAAAATTAAATATATAAATACATGAGAATTTGGTGGTATGTCTTTAAATGCCCCATTTATATTTGAGTCATTATTCACATAGATTGTAAACTATAGTGTGCTTGAATATTTATTTAGGCTTAATCTCTTTGTAGCAGAAGATTATGTGCTTGTAAATTATTATCTTATCAATCTATCTTTGATTAAAAGCCTTACGCAAGAACAAAAGCATGAATTAAGGTACAAATCACCAAAGATAATAATGACGCTTTTATGCAAAGCTTTATAGTATGCGAATATTATAAATATCATCCTTTTTTTATATATATAAATATAAATATCAACCTGCTAAAACTACTACATCATTTATTAATACTTCCAAGAATAAAACCCATCTAAAGCGTTCTAAAAGCACACCAACATAGGGCAATGTATGGTTAAATAATATTCTAAAAGAAAATAAATATAATTTATGATTATTCTTTGAATGCCAAATTAGATGCAAACCAAAAAAAAAAGGGCTGATTGGGATCACTTTTGATTTTTATTTTTTATTTTTTGTTTTCTTTATAATTTGATTTAAAACAAAACATATTTTTGTATAATATAAAATGTTTTAGTTGTTTTTCAAAATACTCGAAACAACCTTTAGATGTTTTGAGCATTTTTAAGAATAAGCTAATTTACTTTTAAAAAGAAAAATAAAAACATGCAAAAATTCACTAAACAAAAATGTTTTAAAAAAAAAACAATGTAGGCTCCGAAAATTCGACGAATCGGACTCTCCGCTGTTGTTGTTGAGAGAGCTTTGAGGGTTAAATTTTCAAAGGACATGGAATAATAGATAAGACAAATACCCAGACATTTCTCATATTGCAAGGATTTTTTTATCCTAATATAACGAATAATTAAATAAATAAATATCAATTATGTTACACATAATTTAATGAATAAATAAGTTTAATAGCATAATTATTTATATTTTATTTCTTAAATGGCATATAATTGCTAGTTGAATCGTTTTATACGTAAAAGTATATGGTTTTCCACCTTGAGGAAAGTAATTGTTTTCTATTAGAGGATAAACACATCATGTTTAGTTATGGGCCTTAATCCTTATCATTTGTAGTAGATTAATAGTTATTTCATATGATTGTCAGTCATACTCTTGCTACTTCAATTATTAATTTGCACTTACTATAGACTTCAATTACTTATAATGATGCAATCATTAACTGTCTTGCTCTATTGTTGTAACTCCTGCATATGTGAAAAAATCTTACAGTTATAATATTATTCTTGCTAGCACTTTACTTTTATGAGATGACATGTAAATTTGTATCATAATTTTATGTGAAATAGCATACTTCTTACATATTATACTTGTGAAGAATTTTGTATACTTGTGTGATAACATGTAAATTGGTAAAACCCTTTTGGATGTTGGCTAGCCGGGCCAATGGGCTCACAAAGTGACGACTCTACAGAAATCGTTGGATTTACTTAAGTTGGCATTGATATTCTCAGTTTTAGGGTGTCTGCTAAAACCAACTAAATATAAATATAAATGTAAGTGGATTATAAATAAATTTGATTCGAGATGATTGCATATTTTTCTTATGATAACTAAGCATATTTAACGTTCACGACCCTCTTTTTGCATTATAATGTTATATGTACATGATAATCATTCTAATTTATTATTCATACTTCACGCACCATTTCCCTTATTGTTTATGTTTTGCATCTAACATTCTTTGATTTTGCATTTCATATCTCTTGTCTTCTTAAGATTGTGTAGGGGGAAAATTATCCTTAGTCAGTTATTTAATCAATTTTGATTTAGCGTATCTTTCAATTATTTAGAATGAGTTCGAAAAGAAGAGGCGCTGCAGTCGTTTGTGCAAAAAGAGTCCAAAGAGCTATTATAAATGATGTGTCTATTCCTAGGGGGTCTCCGTTCACCAAATCGTCGTCGTGCTGGTCATCCTCAATCCACTAAGACTATTAGAGCACCAAATCTCAACATGACAACTCACCTGAAGGTGATAACATAGAACATCAACCAGGTATTGCGATCCAATTTTGCAGCCCAAATTGCACAAGCAATTCAAGCTATTTAGCAAGCGACGTAACCGACACCACAAGCTACTCAACTAGTACCATTATTGGCCATCGTGAAGGAATAACCTAATCAACTAATGGCGCGAACCAACGAGAGTGTCAGATCGAGTGATGGATCAATTTCTGAAGATGCACACTCCTACTTTTAAAGTCACAATGGACCGATCGAGTCTCATGCATGGCTTCATGATATCGAGAAGAGGCTTCAAGGAATAAAGTATCCTAAAGACTATAAGGTGGACAATGCGACATTTCAGTCGCACAAAGTAGCTGATGATTGGTGGGAGAGTCATCACCACAGTACTATCATACCAAAAGCAATAATTTCGTACGAGGATTTTGAGAGATTGTTCCTGAGCAATATTTTCCTATAGTGGACTGGGGTGTCAAGCTCATGAATGACGAAAGGGATAAAGACAGTTCAAAAGTACAAGACACGGTTTGCTAGGATCATCTGTTTCATCCATTTGATTAATTAGCAATAAGATCAGAAGATCTACCACCTACTGGTTGATTTGAGAGAGGGCATTCAGAGGTGTAAATGAACTGTCAAGTCTAAGACTTGCAGAAAGCTGATGAACCAAACTATTCATGTGGAGATAGAGATCAATGTTTGCGAGGAAAAACATGCTGGGAAGTGAAAGTGTGCAAATACAAGCGAATGAGAGTTCTCAAAAGAAACAATATCAAAATAAACAAACAAGAAAGTCAAAAAAAGATATTCATTGTGTTCATTGTAGAAACTGATATTATGGAACATATAACTTGGTCATCGACAAATGCTTCAAATGCTATAGTGTCGATCATAAAACTAAGAATTGTCCACTCAAAGTTCAAGATCAATTGCAAGTGATATATACCCAAGAAAATAACTTTAAATCTCATCATAAAAAAAAACTGACAAAAGTCAAATGAATGTCAATTTCAGAATCATCATAGAAATGTTCAAGCGAAGCAAAATATTTTTCAACCTCAACAGCAGTTACAATAAGTGATGGTGTCTCAACAATATCAGCCTCGCCCTCCGACATCAAAATACTAGCAGTATTAACAACCACAATAGTCTCAACTGACGTATCAACACCATTCAATGGTGAAGTACTAGTCTCAGTGATCTCAAGCTTCAAATCAGCCCGAACAAACGATTCCACCTCAAGCACCTCGAGCATTTGGTATGTCGCATGAAGCTAGTGAAACTTCTGATGTGGTAGCAGGTATTATCCTAATTTTAAAGCAATCGACAATGATATTATTTGACTCTGAGGCAACACGTTCATTCATATCAAACAAATTTATATTTAGTGCATTGATTTCTTCATTACAAACACTATGTCATCTGGCTCACATGTGATAGTTACTAAGTGTGTTCGTGATTGTGGCATTATTATCAATAACATACATGTCTGCTACTCTTATATTGTTCCACTAGCTGAGTTTGATATAAGTATCAGCTGCTTTTTTGATTTGATGAATAGAGTTTTCAAACCTTGGTTCGATTTGTCATTATTTTCATTGATGATATTTTAGCTTACTCCAAGAAGGAAGAGAAGCACGTCGAACGTCTCAGAGCAACACTGATTACTCTTCAAGAGAACAAACTTTATGTCAAATTCTGTAATTTTGGCTTCAAGAAGTTGCATTCCTGTGAAAGATTACTGGTGGAGTTGAAATTCCTACAGATTGGCTGAGGCCAAGTATTATTAGCAAGATTCATGATTTCCTTAGATTAGATGCATACTATCAAAGATTTGTTGAAGTTTCTCTCGTATTTCCTTAGATTAGATGCATACTATCAAAGATTTGCTGAAGTTTCTCTCGTATAACTGCACCTTTATCAACATTGAGCTTGAATGCTTTAAATTTGAATGGTATGATATGTATGTTCAGAGATTCAAAAACTCAAGAATTATGTGGTGGCAGCCCCAACTTATCCCATCCCCTCCAACATAAATGGATTTCAGATCTACAGTAATGCTTCACATCAAGAATTAAGATGTGTTCTAATACATATCTCAAAGTTGTAGCTTATGCCTCTAGATAACTCAAGATGCATTAAGGAAATTATTATACCCACGACTTTGAGCTGGTTGCAACTATTTTTGGACTAAAGATTTGGAGACACTCCTTTTATGGCGTTCGTTGTGAGGTCTTCACAAATCATAAGAGCTTGAAGTATGCTTCTACGCATAAGGAGTTGAACATGAGATAAAGGCAATGGCTCGAGTTGATGAAGGACTATAATTTGGAGATTCACTGTCAATCTGATAAGAAAAATGTTATCGTGAATGCTTTAAGCAAAAAATCTTTGATGTATACAGCTTGGATGATCACCCAGGAGCACAAGTTATCATAGGAGATGGAGCAACTCCGACTCAAGATACTACCAATAAGAGATTCAGCCTACACTTGTAAACCATATTCGTGTGGCTCAGATGATAGAAGCAAACTCACTACAACTTAGAGTGCAAACAAAGAATGGATCGAAACCCGATTTTAGTATCGATCAAGGAGACACTTTGAGATTTCAAGATCGGTTGTGTGTTTCTGATTAGAAAGGACTTCGACAGGAGATGCTCAATGAGGCACATTCTACTACAGATTTTATTCATCCGGGGAGTATTAAAATGTATCAAGATCTCAAGAAGAAATTTTGATGGTCGGGTATGAAAATCATTATGGCTGAGTTTGTAGTCAAGTGTTTGAATGATTAACAATAAACATCACAGATCATGTGGTTTATTGCAGCCCCTTTCCATTCTAGAATGGAAATAGGAGATTTCCATGGACTCTGGTTGGCTTATCAAGACTGAAGGAAGGAAATGAAGCTATTAGGACTGTGGTTGAAAGACTAGGTCAGCTCATTCTACCAATCAAGCAGACCTATTCAGTGGAAAAGTTAGCCAAGATATACATAGATAACATCAATAGACCAAAAATATAGCTAAAGATAGTATTTATTAGAGAATATATATATTGTTATTGTATTATTATAATTTATATATAGATATATATATATATATATATATATAGACTAAAAATAGTATTTTGATTATTTAGATAAAGTTAGTTTTAAATAGGTTCATAGCTTCTTTCTTTTTAAAATATAATAATAATGATTTAATATATTGACAATAATAATAAAAATAATAATATTTTTATTATTAATATTAATTATATTAATAATAAAAAATAATTAAATGTCAATTAAATTACACCTAATTTAATGAATAAATAAATTAAATTGCTTAATTATTTATATTTTTTTTTCAAAATTGTGTAGGATCGCTAGTTGAATTGCTGCATATGTAGAAGTATCGTGTTTGTACCTCGAGGTAACTAACTTATTTTTATTAGAGAATAAATTTGCAATTTCTAATTAGGGGCGTTAATCCTTATTATTTATAGTAAATTCATAATTACTTCATATGATTGTCAGTCATACCTTTACACCTTTAATTATTAATTTGCACTTGTTATAAGTTTCAATTATTACTCATGATGAAATCACTAACTGTCTTACTCTAATGCTGTAAAACTCTCGCATGTGTGAATAAATCTTGCAGTTATGATATTTTCTTTCTTGCATTGAACTTTTTATGAGATGACATGTAAATTCATATACCTGTGAATAATTTTGCATGTTTGTGTGATGACATGTATGTCGGTGGAATTTTAGGTGTTGGTTGGTTGAGCCGACGGACTCACACAGTGACAACTTTACGGGAAATCGCCAGATTTCCTTGGATTGGTATTGACCTCCCCTGCTTCAAGATGTTTGTTAAAATAGACTAAATATAAATATAAATTAAAACTGAATAACAAGAAACTTAATTCGAAATAATTGCATGTTTTTTTTATGAGAAGTAAACATATTTGATGTTTAACACTCTTTTGTTGCATTATGATGTTATATATGCACATAGCAATCGTCTATATTTATTGTTCATACCGTATGTCCCATTTTCATTACTGCCGACGGACTCACACAGTGACAACTTTACGGGAAATCGCCAGATTTCCTTGGATTGGTATTGACCTCCCCTGCTTCAAGATGTTTGTTAAAATAGACTAAATATAAATATAAATTAAAACTGAATAACAAGAAACTTAATTCGAAATAATTGCATGTTTTTTTTATGAGAAGTAAACATATTAGATGTTTAACACTCTTTTGTTGCATTATGATGTTATATATGCACATAGCAATCGTCTATATTTATTGTTCATACCGTATGCCCCATTTTCATTACTATTTATGTTTTAATAAATAATTGTTATTTATTGAGTTTGTTTGTCAAACTCACTCCTTGATCTTTTGCATAATAAATTCTATTCAGCGACTAGCAGGAGCGTCTCCAACGGAGTACAATTTCCAGTTTTATATTTTCTGTCCTGATATTTTTTTCTTTGGATTTGTTTTAGCTATTACATTCTCCTTTTTAGGTATGGATGATTGTTTCCTATTGTCATTTCAGTTTTGACTCAGTTTGTTTTCTATTTTTCTTTCAGTTACATCAGTGGACTATTAATTATGAAATAGAATTTTTATATTCGTGTGTATTCCTATTGTTATTTGAATACAATTTTCTTTTTGATTTGAATACATTAGTACACTTTCCAGTTTTATATTTTATGTCCTGATATTTTTTCTTTGGATTTGCTTTAGCTATTACATTCTCCTTTTTAGGTATGGATGATTGCTTCCTATTGTCATTTCAGTTTTGACTCGGTTTGTTTTCTATTTTTCTTTCAGTTACATCAGTGGACTATTAATTATGAAATAGAATTTTTATATTCGTGTGTATTCCTATTGTTATTTGAATACAATTTTATTTTTGAAAATACAAAACATATTCATTTGATCATGCTCTATGTTGCTTTGGGGCACCGCCTTCTAGACTCGGGTGTGACATTTAGTGATACTTCTATTCCAATCATTAGATGTCCTTGTTATAAAAAAACGAGAGTGATTATTAATAAAACCAAGTCCAAGTTGTTGGTATAAGGCCTATGAAGATGATAGTATAAACAAACTAACGCATGCCCTGCCTGCTTTCCAAATAAGGGGCAGCACTTTCTTCTTTTACGTGATTTCTTTATAATGTTATTGCGACAAGATGATAAGGAATAGATGGCATATGGGATTCAAACGTTTCCATGAGTTGAGATGAAGGGTTTGAAAGTAAGAGATGAAACTTGAAAGAAAAACTTACAGGGATAAACTATTTTAGCAAAAAAGCAAAACAAGAGAAAAATAAAACAGCCCTAGTCCTTCCTTTGAAGGGCCACTTATGCATTAGGCTTCATGGAGGCATCCTGAGTGGAAGTCAAAAACTGATGTTTATTTTAATATATATCTACACACATCTACACACACACACACTCTATATATATATATATATATATATATATATATATATAT